ATAATAATTTTTTAAAGAATTTTTTGGGCATAAGTAAATTATCAGTGATTTTAATAAGTTGTGTCTAAGAAATGCTCATTTTGTAATCAAGTTGTGTAGGCCCTTCCTAAACCTTATAAGTAACTAGTATTAGCCAGAAGCGGAATTAAGAGGAAAATCGTTGCTCATTTATTTATTCTAGTCTTATTAATTTTACAAGACTTTAATTTCACTGTATATATGTGTTATCCATTATTTGGTAATAATAACGCAACCTTCTTAATTTGTTAGAGCTGGTAAATTTTAAAAGCTCTAAACTTTATTTCTTTTCAGAGAGAGATAGAGAACGAGTGGAGGAAAGGTAGAGAGAGGGGGAGAGAGACAGAATCCCAAGGAAGTCCCACACTGTCAGCACAGAGCCCAGTGCAGGGCTTGAACTCACAAACTGCGAGATTATAACCTGAGGTGAAACCAGGAGTTAGTTGGATGCTTAACTGGCTGAGTCACCCAGGTGCCCCTAGAATTTCTATTTCTTATCTCTTTATTTTTACTATTTCCAACAAAATAAAATATCAGTACTCAGTTTTAAAGAAATAGAAAAACTTTACTACAAAATTTTAAAGCTACATTGATATTTTGATTTTTTTTAGAATGTAAAGATTATAAAAACAACATACTAATTGACAAATATTGAATGTTAAATTGTTTTTGTGCCAAATCTTTTTAAAATTTTTGCATATTTCTTTCCTTAGACTATATCTTACCCAAATACATGTTTCTTATTCTACTAAAATTCTTTATCTAGAATATTTGGCTAAGAGGGAAAATTTTTTTTAACATTCCATGTCATGTGAAATGAATAAATAGACTCTACTAGGGGGAACTCCATAAATTGAATATTGTGTTAAAAGATTTGTAAATGGAGGGGTGCCTGCCTGACTCAATCTGTAGAGGATGTAACTCTTGATCTTGTGGTCATGAGTTCGAGCCCCACAATAGGGGTAGAGATCACTTAAAGAAAAAAAAAAAAACCTTTGTAAATAGATAGACAGCTATTGCCTATCAAAGTGTCAACTTCTTCATTTTAAAAGAACAGCTCTTCATTGCTATAATCTCCCTTCTTCTTTGTCTCTTATATTTTATTTTTCAAACCAGGATAAATTCATGAGAAAAGGAGGATGGCATCTAGAATAAATACCAGTTTCACCTTGATTCCCAACAAGAAATACAGACGTAGTAATCGTCGATCCAACAGCTATTTTTCTGATACTTCTCAGCCCTTATCAACACTTGGAAATTTTAAAGCCTTGCCATTGGAAATATTCCAAATAATCTTAAGATATCTGTCAGGTGAGATCTGGGGACACTGAGTAGGTTATATAGATGATCGTATATTTTTTCCCCAAGAACTAGTTTATCATCTTAGGCCCTGCTAGGATATTAATGGTATTTACATTATGTTTATTTTCAAAAGTTTCATCATTGTTAGACAAGGGCTATAATGAAGGAAGTATGGCACTCAAACTCTTTAAAGCAGCCTCTAATTATAGTAATAACATGGTAACTTGACAGTTACATCCCTAAATATTTCCAATTCATTGAGCAGTAGATTTTAAACAATTTTAAGATTTTGCCCCTCTTTCCTCCACTGTTATTATATATTGTATTATTTACTATTATTAATGAGCTAATTTATAAGTTAATAGATTATACTAATGGTGATATTCTTATAATTAAGCCATTTATATATATGTATATATATTTCTTTTGGTAGTGAAGGATATCAGCATGCTAAGCATGGTGTCCAAAACAGTCAGCCAGCACATTATTAATTATATCTCAACCTCATCAGGAAGCAAAAGACTTTTACTACAGGATTTTCATAACCTTGAGCTGCCTAGCAAGAGACAAGCCTCTGCCATACTGGAACATTACAGATCTCTAGGTAATTTATGTAATGAGAATTGTAACAAGTAAAGAACTACACTTAATTAAGGGCATTTTATTAAACAATTCTGTAAGGCCTGTGGGAAATGGGGTATTTCTTAAAATGTGCCTATTTCTATGATGCTTTTATTTTTCAGTATGAGGACTTTCCAATAATAGTCCCTTATGCTAATCCTTAAAGATGAGAGAATGCACTTTAAAGTATCAGTCTTTGTGATTTCATGTCCATACAAAGTCACCTTTGTTTATTGTCTAGGTGGCTTATCAGTTTGGAAATTGATGTGTTTTCTATGCTTTACTTCCCACGTACCTAATGAGTTTTATCTCAAAACTTCTTTTCTCTTTCAACCGTAATATATAGTCCTTAAAATAGAAATGTTGTGGAAGACCACTTATTCTCTTATCAGGAACAATGTGTTTTTTTAAGTACACATTTATTAATAAATCATTATGCTCTAATGAATTAACCTTATCAAAGGAAATTCTATATAATTTCTTCCCTTGATTTATAATCATTGATGTCTTTCACCCCATTCATTGATTTTATTCTCCCTCAGAGTGCTGAAATAAAATTCTAATTTTGACTTCACTAGTGACACCAGTTTAATTAACAAAACATGGCAATAAAACCAAAAAATTAATGGATGGCCGGGTGGCTCAGTCGGTTAAGTATCCGACTTTGGCTCAGATCATGATGTCATGGTTTGTGAGTTTAAGCCTCACATCGGTCTCTGTGCTGACGGCTCAGAGCCTGGAGCCTGCTTCCAATCTGTGTCTCCCTCTCTCTCTGCCCCTCCCCCACTCACACTCTGTTCTCTCTCTCATTCTAAAAAAGAAATAAACATTAAAAATTTAAAAAATTAAGATGATTTCAGGTTTTAAATAAAGGCGTATTATGGGGTGCCTGGGTGGCTCAGTCGGTTGGGCGTCCCACTTCGGCTCAGGTCATGATCTCACGGTTTGTGGATTTGATCCCTGTGTTGGGCTCTGTGCTGACAGCTAGCTCAGAGCCTGGAGCCTATTTCAGATTGTGTATCTCCCTCTCTCTCTGACCCTCCCTTACTCATGCTGTCTCTCTCTCTCTCTCTCAGAAATAAATAAAACATTTTAAAAAAGGCATATTAGTTCAGCAATTAGTACCTTTTAGTAACCCAAGGATGCCTAGCTTTAAGATAATAAAATAAGACTATATACGTGTGTAAATACATGAAAGTATTTGATAAGTATATTTAATAAGATTAAATGAAAGGTATGTAATCTGCAGTGTTACTGGTTTCAGTATTTATGATTAGACTTATTAAACCCTGTAACAGAATATAGCAATGGCTTTTTGCTACTTGTTGTTGTAAATTTCCTTTTTCAAACATCCTTAGTTGCAGAACAAGTGCTGTGGTAGAAGAGCTTATTTTTTTGGTTTTGATCTGAAAGAATTTTTTTCTCCATGATCAAGACTCAGTCACTTAAATAAGCAAAACAGCCTTAAGATAATTATATGGATAATTCAGTGAAAAATACAAATATGTATGGATCTTAATAGCCAGCTTTTAAAAACGGTTTTATTCATGTAATGATTTAAACCTTCCATTTAATTTTGGTGCAGACACCTGGCTTGTGACTTATTCTTTAGGTAAATGTTTGATGTACCTACCATTTTCTCATATTGCCATTCCTATCTGATCTGTTCTTGTTTTCAGACATCAGAATAACATTTTCAGAATTCTATGCTCTAAAGATTATAAATTTTAATTTGCTTCTTCATACAAAACAGAACAGATGGCCAGTGTGAAAAGAACATTACATCTGATTCTATTTTAGTGGAAAGAAATTCTAAAAGTTGGTCTCTAAAGGGTATACCAGAGCACCTGTGTTAAAAAAATAAATAAGCCAGCCAATACTGGTTTTTATGGTAAATTGCAATCCTTAAAAATAGAAGTTATACATTAGAAAAAGCAACCAACATACAATTATAGTTTACGATTCCCGAGCCATGAGATGCCATGGAACTGGATGCCAAAACATGAAAGGAAAAGAACTCAGCTTAAAAACCAAGCACTGAATATGTCTTTTTATGTACAAAAATAAGAAGGGTTTATATTTCAAACTCAATTCTGGTCATGTGTTATCCAAACATAGCAACTTCTAAAGATAAATTGGATTCCCATAGATTCTACAGAATTATATAAAGCAGTTATTATATGTGTTTAAAAGTAAATGCAGAGAAGATAAAAATGGAAAAATTCATGATATTCAGGTATATATTTTCCTACCATATACCTTATTTTTAGTGTAAGGACAACATTGCCCTTATAGGAATGTTAACAGTGTATTGCCATTTTAGGAAAACAGAACACATAAAGTTAGAGGAAACAAATCATACACTTCTGTCACTGTAGTTCAAGTTACATATCTCACTGGGAAATTGAATTTTCTTTTTTAAAATATCTGAACACAAAATTCTATACATTCTTAACATGTAAGCCCCATAAAAGGATATCTTTGAAGGAAGAAATGGATATTTCATCCAAACTGGATACTTCCTGTGAGTGAAAATAACTTCTAACCTCTGAAATTTTAAGTACTTAATGCTTTAAAATTTTTTTAATCTGGAGAAAGGAATACAAAATCTTTTTTTCATTCTTTCCATTTTTTACATTAACAACCCTTGAAACATTTTTCTTTGTGAACATGATTTTAATTTCAAGAACTATTGGAATCTGTTTTCTTGAGAATAAAGATAACATAATATAAAGTTCGACTAGTATATCTTAGTGTCTGTTATTGTATCTTTTTAAATCTAAATTGTTTCCATATCTGTCTTATTATATCAATTTTATAATGTTTTTATAAGATTTTATGCCACTTAGTGGACATCAGAGTTACTTGGTAAATACCATATACTGTGAGTGTTTTGTACTCTTACTCCAAAACTTCCTCTTCAGACCGTATCAGCTGTGATATGCCATACTTGACTTACAGGAAACGTTATGCTGTGCTTTACAGGTACTTTTAAATTAATTGTATTGTTATCTTTTTTTTTTTTTCATGTGTCTCTTTACTTTTTCAGGTCTGCTATTTAAAAGATGTACGTTGCTGTTACCCACAAGGGAGAGACTAAAGTACGTTCACAAGATACTGGCAGAAGTAAGATTGCACTTCTTAATTAGTTCTTATGAATTAGTTCTTGGTTTCCAGTAAAGATATTTAAATTTTTTTTTAACATTTATTCATTTTTGAGAGACAGAGAGTGAATGGGGGAGGAGGAGAAAGAGACACACAAAGAATGGGAAGCAGGCTCCAGGCTCTAAGCTATCAGCCCAGAGCCTGATGTGAGGCTCAAACTCGCAGACAGTGAGATCATGACCTGAGTTGATGTTGGATGCTTAACCGACTGAGCCACCCAGGCACCCATCCAGTAAAGATATTTTTAATCTTACACTCACTTTAGATCCATCTTCAATTAGTAGAATTTCATAAGTTAGTAATAAAAATTGATGATGATCTAATACTATACCAAGTATCCAGAGATTATAAACCACCAAAACGCGGTAGTCTTTTACTTATCATATAACAGTGTTTTAAATGTTTGTTTGTTTGTTTAGAGAGGGAGAGAGAGACAATGAGCAGGGGAGGGGAAGAGGGAGAGAGAGAGAGAATCCCAAGCAGGCTCTGCACTGTCAGCACAAAGCCTGAGGTGGGACTCAATCCCACGAACCATGAGATCATGACCTGAGCCGAAATCAAGAGTCGGACACTTAATCAACTGAGCTCCCCAGGCACCCCATAAAACAATTTTTGTGTATGACTAAGAACATCATTCAAGTTTAGTAGGTTTGTCAGAGTATAAAAGTATTTCACCCTACATGAGAATCCTGAGGATGTTTTAAAGTGATTTAGATATTTTATTAAAATGAAATCATTTCTTACTGTTTATATTTTCAAAAACATAGGAAAGCATTTTTAATATTAAAAGAGCAAAACTTTTATGATACTTTATGACTTGGAAATGTGTATCAATGTGTTTATGCATAATCTCTCATAATTTTATGTATGCTTTGGAGTTTCACCATACAAACTCAGATATACATCCAATGCTGACAGTTCAGTTCTACACTCAATCGTATGCAAACTGTTTCTGATGCATTAGCTTTTTTCGTGTCAGCATTTGCAAGGAGTTTAGGTCTATATTATTGCAGCGGCTTCTCAGATGAACTTTCTGCTATCTATTTCTTCACTTCCCAGGACATTCTGTGTGTTGAATCAGGATTATTCTTCCTAAAGCATCCCTTTCATCAAGTTAATTTTCTTGCTTAAAAATCTTTCAGTGGCTACTCAATTTCAGCAAGATAAGGTCCAAAGTCCATATTTATGGTTCTCCCTGACAGTGCAACCTTACTTCCTACCACGTTGAGCCCAATTAAGCATGTCATATCTTTCTTCCCATATAAACCTTTTTATTCCTACCTCTATACAATTTTGTCCTTATCATTTCCCCTACCTGTCTTTTCCATTCATTTTATTTGCATCCTACTATAAGATAGTGCTCTTTTCACATCCCTCTGAAGCTGTTTTGATCAAATTTATCTTTTTTCTGCTTTCACAGTATCTGATACAGTGTATATTTGGTCATTTTAACATTTATATGTATTCTAACCTGAATTGTCAAAATAATTTCATGTGCATGTGTTTTATTCTTCTAAATAAATTGTGAACTTGAAGGCAGAGACTCTGTTTTATACTTCTTTTGAGATCCCACCTATACAACACAATACTGATTAGTTATTTAGCATTTTAATTATTTTCAATACTGAAAAGTTCCTGCATATTTCCATTAAATTTGAATGTCCAATCATTGTACAGTTCCACTGAAAAAGAGTCATTAATAGTTGTTTCTTTACAGGTTTCCTGTTTTAAATTCAATGGCTGTGCAGCTCCTATCCAATGTTTAGGATTACCATGTTATGGCATGTTTTTACAGGTACATTTTTAAAATTTATTTTATTTTTTTATAGGTACATTTCTTGAAAAAAGAAGAAAAGGAATGTCTTTTGAAATGTTAACAAGTAGAGCATGTAATCTAGCTTTCTGTAGGTTAATAAAAATAATCTAGAAGAAAACAAAATATAAAGATTTGAGGATATGTTCATCTAATAGTGTGTTTGCCACCTAAGATTTTTTCTTGAATTTCTCAATGGTAAGAACATTTAGCATTTATTTGCTCTATACCAATATCCTTGACATTTCCAGCCAGTTGTAAAGATTAGTAATCTTGTGGGGTGGTGTGTGTGTGTGTGTGTGTGTGTGTGATGAAGTTTTAGTCTTGAGCTATTTATTTAAAATGTGATTTTAGGGATGCCTGGGTGGCTCAGTCAGTTAAGCATGGACTTCGGCTCAGGTCATGATCTTGCAGTTCATGGGCTCAAGCCCTGCATTGGGCTTTGTGCTGACTGCTCAGAGCCTGGAGACTGCTTTAGATTCTGTGTCTCCCTCTCTCTCTGCCTGTCCCCTGCTCATGCTCTATGTCTTTCTCAAAAATAAATAAACATTGGGGCACCTGAGTGGCTCAGTTGGTTAAGCATCAGACTTCAGCTCAGGTCATGATCTCATGGTTTGTGAGTTCAAGCCCCACGTCGGACTCTGTGCTTACAGCTCAGAGCCTGGAGCCTGCTTCGGATTCTGTGTCTCCCTCTCTCCTGCCCCTCCCTTGCTCATGTTCTATCCCTCTCTCTCTCTCAAAAATAAATGAACATTAAAAATATGATTTTAGAAGTGAAAAAAATTGGAACTTTAGGAGATGATAGATGTGTTAACTAAAATTATTGTAGTAATTATTTTGCAATATATATATATAATCATTTTTATGTACACCTTCAACCTACACAATGTTATATGTCAATTTTATCTCAAGTAAGTTGATAAAGAAATAAAACTATATGATTTTTAAGTTTTTGACTAATCTTTTATTATAAACAAAGAAGATAACAATATTATTTAATGTTATTCAATATTAATGATATTAATCTATTACATTGTTCTAAGCAGTTTAAATGTACAGTTTACCCTTGAACAACACAGGTTAAATGTCAAGGTCTATGTATACACAGATTTTTTTCAATAAATCCGTACAGTACTATAAATGTAGTACCTCTCATGATTTTCTTTTTTTTTTTTTTCTTTTTGAGAGAGAGAGAGGGATGGAGGGAAAGAGGCAGAGAGAGAGAGAGAGACAGAGTATCTGAAGCAGGCCTTGCGCTGTCAGCAGAGAGCCTATGCGGGGCTCAAACTCACAAACCGTGAAATCATCACCCGAGCCAAAGTTGGACGCCTAACCAACTGAGCCACCCAGGTGCCCCCTTATGATTTTCTTAATAACATTTTCTTTTTTCTCACTTTATTGTACAAATATAGTATACAATACATATGACATACAAAATATATGTCAATTGACTATTTACGTTATTGGTAAGGCTTGTGGTCAACAGTAATCTATTAATAGTTAAGTTTGGGAAGAGCCAAAACTATATGTGGATTTTCGACAGTGCAGGGATGTCAGCACCTCAACCTCTGCCTTGTTCAAGAATCAACTGTAGTAACTTATTTAAAACTTAAACAACCTTACAAGGTTTATAACAATCTTGCTCTATATCCCAGCCTGCCAGCCACCATCTGCCTGCCCAGATTCTAGGGGCCTAGGCCTTTCTACTATCCCTCTTCTAAGATAGACTTTTGCTTTTGTGGAGGGGGTAGAGACAACTAATATAAATACATATATTCATATAAAATTCAAAAGGTATAAAATTGTATAAAGTAAAAAGTCAGTCTCCCAACAAGGCCTGTTCCTTGTCTACCAAGTTCCCTTCAACAGAAGTAACTGTTGTTAGCAGTTTCTTCTATGTCCTTCCAGGGAAAATGAGATTAATTTTTAAACTACTAAAATCCAGTTCAACTATTTCAAGAAAAATTTGTATGACTAGTCAACCTTTTGAAAATCTAACTATAGTGGTATACTGTTTAAGTTTCCTTTTCAGGGACACCTGGGTGGCTCAGTCAGTTAGGCGTCCAACTTCGGCTCAGGTCATGATCTCACGGGTTCATGGGTTTGAGCCCTGAGTCGGGCTATGTGCTGACAGCTAACTCAGAGCATGGAGCCTGTTTCAGATTCTGTGTCTCCCTCTCTTTCTGACCCTCCCCTGCTCACGCTGCCTCTCTCTCTCAGAAATAAATAAAACATTAAAAAAAAATCCTTTTCATATATGTATAACTTTACATTCTGGTTTGTTCAGTGATTATTATTAAACTCTGTCCTAATAAAAATTTTTTGCTTGTTCACATCAAAATGTCATAATTGTCATATTAAAATGAAATCGTCATCACTTGTATGTAATATCATAAATGATAGCTAGAGGAGGTTAAAGGGATTCTGTTATAGTCTAAAACTAAACTATAGTATAGTGTGAGTCAGATATCTAATGCTGTGTTCTAGGCTTTTGGCTTTTTTTTAATTTATACTGTCAGAGTTCAGGATTCAGTACCATTTGAAAGTTCTCTGAAAGGATACTCCCTTTACAACCAAAAAGAAACTGGATTTTGGAGCATTTCTAGGATTTGTTTATAGAAATTTTCTTATTAAACATTCCATAGTGGATAAAAATTGCACATCACTTCAATCATGTGCTACAGCAGTTATGCTCATAAGGCAGTAGTGACTTACATTTTAATTTGATGGTCTTAATATCTGCAATGTTTCCTTTATTTTATTATTCTCAGACCTTAACAGCAGGTTGGGATGAACTCGAGTGCCATCGTGTGTATAACTTCTTATGTGAGCTGACTAAACTCTCCCGCAAGATGCAGGCCGTTGTCTGCAGCAAACCAGGTAAAAAACTACAATTAACAGGTAATATTGTACAGATATTAAAATGGGGAAAAAAGTGGGGCGCCTGGGTAGCTCAGTCGATTGAGGGTCAGACTTTGGCCCAGATCATGATCTTATGGTTCATGATTTCGAGCTCCACCGTCAGGCTCTGTGCTCACAGCTCAGAGCCTAGAGCCTGTTTCAGGTTCTGTGTCTCCTTCTCTCTCTGCTCCTCCCCCATTCGCACTCTGTCTCTCTCTCTCTCTCCCCCTCAAAAATAAACAAACGTTAAAAAAAATTTGAGGGGCGCCTGGGTGGCTCAGTCGGTTGAGCATCTGACTTTGGCTCAAGTCATGATCCCACAGTTTGTGGGTTCGAGCCCCGCATCAGGCTCTGTGATGACAGCTGGCTCAGAGCCTGGAGCCTGCTTCCAGTTTCCGATTCTGTATCTCCTTCTCTCTCTGACCCTCTCCTGCTCACGCTGTCTCTCTCTCTCTCTTTCTCTCTCTCTCTCAGAAATAAATTTAAAAAACATTAAAAAAATTTTTTTTAAATATAAGAACAGGGGCTCCTGGGTGGCTCAGTCAGATAAGCATCTGACTTCAGCTCAGGTCATGATCTCACAGTTTGTGAGTTCAAGCCCCACATTGGGCTCTGTGCTGACAGCTCAGAGCCTAGAGCCTGCTTTGGATTTTGTCTCCCTCTCTCTGCCCTTTCCCTGCTTACACTCTGTCTCTCTCTCAAAAATAAATAAACGTTTAAAAAAAAAAACTTTTTTTAAAGGAAAGTATAAGAACATAGTTGGGAAATGTGATAGTTTGAATGTCCACATGGCTAGGCCACAGTACCCAGATATTTGGTCAAACATTTTTCTAGATGTTTCTCTGAAGTTATTTCTTAGATGAAATTAACATTTAAATCAGTAGACTTTGATAGACAGATTACCCTCATCAATCACATGAAAGCCTTAGTAGAAAAAGAGTGATCTTCCAAAGCAAGATAAAATTCTGCCAGCAGACTGCCTTTGGACTTGAACTGCAACTATTCTCTTGTCTCTAGTCTGCTAGCATACCCTGCAGATTTTGGATTGCCAGTCCTCAAAAACCTTATGAGCCAGTTCCTCAGAATAAATTCTTCTCTGTGTATATTTATATACATATCCTGTTTGTTTTATTTTTCTGGAGAATGCTGAGTAGGTACAAGAGGGTCAAAACCCAAATTCAAGATGGTGATTACCTCTGAGGATGAAGGGCAAGAGGATTGGGAGTGATATACAAGAAGCTGTAACTGAAAAAAAAAAAAAAAAAAAAAAGAAGCTGTAATTGTGTCTATAATGTTTTCTTTATTTTAAAAATCCAAAGCAAATATAGCAAAAAGTAAAGCTTTGACAAAGCTAGGTGATTGGTACACAGTATTTTTTGTAGTATCTCTGCTTTTTCTGACAATTTGAGATATTTCATTATGAAACATATTATGTATCAAAAAGGCAGATTAGAAGCCCAATGAAACAATAACAAAATTAATTTATCATGTCCCTTCCTTGATCAAAAACTTTTATTGGCTCCCTTATGTCTTCAAAATAAAGTCCAAACTTTTTTTTTTTTTTTAATGTTTTATTTATTTCTAGGAGAGAGAGAGAGACAGCATGAGCAGGGGAGGGTCAGAGAGAGAGGGAGTAACAGACTGAAACAGGCTCCAGGCTCTGAGCTGGCAGTCAGCACAGAGCCCGACGCGGGGCCCGAACCCACGAACCGCGAGATCATGACCTGAGTGAAAGTCGGACGTTTAACCGACTAAGCCACCCGGGCGCCCCAAGTCCAAACTTTTTATACTGGCCTTCACGTTCTAATCCCACCCTATGTTTTTGGACTTATTCCCCACTATTCTCTGTATTTGTTTGACATAGAGTAGGCTTATCACTCTACTCAGTGTATCTCAGGCATCTCTTAAACATTTCTACCTCATATCTTTTATTCATTCTCTCTATTTTTTTTTCTGAAATACCATCACTCCTCATTTTTTAAGACCCAACTTGCCTGACTTCCTCTGTAAAGCCTTTCCTGATCCCCAGGCCTCCAGTGATGTCTGTCGCCTAAATGTCTATGTTATGTGGATTACTTCATATGGCCTTAGATCATTGGTAGACTTTCCATTTATACTTGTCTTATCTATAAGTAAATAGATCATAAATTGTATAAAAATGTAAAAGGTGCCACCACTATGAAAAACAAGCTTGACCATTCCTCAAAAAGCTAAAGATAGATTTATCATATGAGCAAGCAATTCCACTCCTAGGTATTGAAATCTGGGACTTGGAAAGATATTTGTATGCCAATGTTAACTGCAGCATTATTCACACTAGCTGAAAAGTGAGAACAACCTAAGGGTTGTTCTGTCCAACAGACGAATGGATAAACAAAATGTGGTATATTCATACAATAGGATATTTTTCAGCCATAAAAGGAAATGAAGTCTTGATACATGCTAAAATGGATGAACTTGGAAAGCATGCTAAGTGAAATAAGTCGCACACAAAAGGACAGATGTTGCCCTTAAATGAGGCACCTCAAACAGGCAAATTTATAATAACAGAAAGCAGATTAGGGGTTATTAGGAACTGGGAGCAGAGGGAAATGGGAGTTATTGCTTAATAGTTATAGAGTAAAAAAAAAAAATGGTTATAGAGTTAATGGATAAAGAGTTCTGGAAATAAACAATTATGATGGTTGAACAATATTGTGAATGTAATTGAGGTCGTTGTATTATACACTTTAAAAATGGTTAAGACGGTAAACATGTTATATTTATATACATATAAATATAACATATTTACCACAATTTTTAAAATTAATAATATAATAGAGTTTTTAAGTTTATTTAATTAATCTCTACACTCAACATGGGTTACAAACCCATGACCCCAAGATCAAGAGTCTCATACTCTTTCAACTAAGCCAGCCAGGCCCCCAATAATACAATAGATTATAAACTATTGAATTATATATTTTAAATGGGTTTATTATATGGTATGTAAATTATATATATTTCAATAAGTCTGTTTAAAAAAAACACACACGCAAGATTCCACTTCAGACCCACCAGAATGGCTAGAATCAAAAAGCCAAATAATAACAAATGTTGGTGAGAATGTGGAGAAATTGGAACCCTCATACATTACTGGTCGGGGTTTAAGATGGTGCAGCCACTTTGGAAAGCAGTCTGACAGTTCCTCAAAGGATTAAACACATAGTTACTAAATGACCCGGAAATTCCATTCCTAGGTATTTCCCAAGAGAAATGAAAACATATGTCCACACAGAAACTGGTACACAAATGTTATAATAGCCAAAAGATAGAAACAATCCAAATGTTCATCAGTGGATGAATGGATAAACAAAATGAGGTATATCTATGCAATGGAATATTACTTGGCAAAAAAAAAAAAAAAAGAAGGAAGTATTCATAGATGCCATAACATAGATGAAACTTAAAAACATGCCAAGTGTTGTAGTTATGAACATTTAAAGTTACGTGTTTTATATATTGCTATAATAAAGGAGTGTTGTGCATTAAAAAAAACACGTACACACAAAAGACAAAAAAACAAGCTAAGTGAAAGAAGCTGGTCACAAAAGACCACATACTGTATGATTTCATTCATATGAAAATCCAGGAAGAGGAAATATTTAGAGACAAAAGGTAGATTGTCATTGCTTAAGGCTGGGCTGGTAAATAATGGAGGGATGGGGGGTTGATAGCTACAAGAATAGGATTTCTTTTTGAGGTGATGAGAAGGTTCTAAAATTGGTGCTGGCTGTACATATCTGTGAATATACTAGAAGCCACTCAATTGTATGGTGTGTAAAGTATATCTCAATAAAATTGTTTAAAAAATAGTCCCTTGATAATCTAAAGTTTTTACAGAGGAAGATGAAATAGCGCTTTCAGTACAAAGCAGATGTTACAGATCTATCACTGACCTATCCAATATGCACATCAACCTTTCTAGGAAGAATGGTTTACAATTCTTTTGTCTTCGTAGGAAGTGCCCGAAAACTGGAGTTAAGGATCAGACTATTCTGTAGGAATGTCCTGCTTGACCACTGGATACATCAAAGTGATTCTGCGTTTTGGTTGACACGTATATTAAAACCATGGCCAATGGTGAATCAGGCAAGATTATTGTATATCATCTTCGGACCAATATCTCCTCAAGATGGTGAGCATCCATTTCTCAGGGATGTATGTTACAAAACTGGTTAGTTACTTTTAGTTTAGGAAGCATGTATCTTTTGTACCTGCTCGGTTTCATCATTTCTTTTTCTTTTTTTTTTTAATGTCTTTATTTCTGAGAGAGAGACAGTGTGAGCAGGGGAGGGTCAGAGAGAGAGGGAGACATAGAATCCGAAACAGGCTTCAGGCTCTGAGCTAGCTGTTAGCACAGAGCCCAATGCAGGGCTTGAACCCACAAACCATGAGATCATGACCTGAACTGAAGTCGGACGCTTAACCGACTGAGCCACCCAGGTGCCCCTCAGTTTCATCATTCCTAATGACTACACTGTTTCATGATTTCATAGATGGACACTACATTAGCATAGGCATTACTTAAGACTGCAGGCCATTGCCAAATATATTCCCATCATCCCTGGTATACCTAAAAATCACTACATTTTATTTCTAAACATTACCTTAACTCAAGATTATGTTTGCTGCTGAAGGGGACTTATAATGCCTGTAAAGCACAGTAGTTGTTGAAATTGATGTTTTGGGTGCATAATATGATTATTTGCATTTTTGCCCTTCTAATTAAGTTTTACTTAATGTTAAAATTAGTGTGCAGTTCTTTGGTTCACATCATCCCTGTCAGGAAGTAACCAGTTTAAAGTACACTAAATGGGGGCACCTGGGTGGCTCAGTTGGTTAAGCATCCGACTTCAGCTCAGGTCATAATCTCACAGTTCGTGGGTTCAAACCCCACATCGGGCTCTGTGCTGACAGCTAGCTCAGAGCCTGAACACTGTCTTTGGATTCTGTGTCTCCCTCTCTCTCTGCTCCTCCCCTGCTCACGTTGTCTCTCTCTCTCTCTCTCTCAAAAATAAAACGTTAAGAAAAAAAGTATACTGAAAAGCAGCAGGAAGCCAATCTGGGATAAAATTTTCTTGTATGTAATTCACAAAGCAAATTGGTCATAGATAAATAATCAAAATTGACTGGATTACTGTGTTTTGGTAGAAATGTTTGAAAGATACTCAAATACAGCATGCTCTCCTTTTGGAAGGACCTCAATAGATTTGATTTGATTTTACTAAGATTACATCAGTTGTTTACTACAATTTCTGTTACATGAATAGCATTATCTTTGAACTAGAAACAGTATTCTGTTTGGTGAAACTACCTTTACCTCATTTAGCTATTGTTGCCATGCTTCATTATTCAGCCAGAGACATTCAAACTTACACTGTTATCAGAATTGACTTTCATTATGAAAGTTAAAATGAAAGTAGCATATATAAGCAATGGGATTCCATTATGCAATCCAATTTCCTTTTTAAACAATCCATGAAGACTTTATCATAAATCCAACTATTCTGTCATAGCCTAGTTTTTGTTTCAATTATCTAGGACAGGTGGTTTGGCAGAAAATGATAGAAGAACCTACAGATGAATCCAGTCTGAAAGGTTTGGCTGATGCCATTAAATTACTATATGACACAGGCACCAAAGAGTGGACAGCAGATGATATTATCAGTCTTGTAGATGAACTATCAGGTAAAAATACATATTTACCACATAGAATAATAGAAGTGTTTTCTTCGAATATGGTTATAAAATTGTAAGGATAATTCTATGAGTAATAAATGAATTACCTAGTCAAGATCACTAAGTGTTTTAAAATATTTAAAGAGTTTGATATTGTTTCAAGAGAATGCATATAATCAATATACTTTCCTCCAATTGCCAATGCATATATATTTATTACTATTACTATTTGAAAGTTTCATGAATTTAATTAGCTCAATTATTCCCATTTTGCAAATTCTCACAAGCATCCTCCTAGGCTGTGTAAGAAGAAAGCCCTCTCCTGTTGGCAAAGAAAAGAAAAACAGTTTTTCCCATTCTTGCAGAATCCCTCAGATTCTAAAGTTTATAAGATTTCTTTCCTTACACAGAATTAGACTATCTTGCCTTTTGATCTATGTGTAGGAGAAATACTTTGACTATATTATTAGGACATTTGTAAAAGTCACCATAACTTTGGCAATAATCTCTGTCTCTAGTTGAATGCTCTAATTGTACAACTAAGACACTTTTTTCTGAGCTTTTCCCTTGGCACTAGTTGTATTTCCAATAAGGTGATATAATATTGCATGTCCTTAATGATGTTCACTAGAGCTATTATATAATTTTTTACTAAATAACTGTTCTTCCTCTAATAAAAGTGGTTCCCCGTGAGTGGCTGTTAGAGAATAATGCACGTCTCCTAATCCTAAGTGGGAACAGCATCTGTTTCACTTTCATGGCTAGTAAAGCTGTGAATGGACGGGCCATTGAACTGGCAAAGCTGATAGTCTTTTTGGCTTTGGTAAGTAAAAAACAAGTTTTTCTCTAGCAAGTTGAAATTATAGTTTAACTACCAGGGAGCTGCCCTGAAGGAACTGAAACATGTTCAGGGGCTCCTGGGTGGCTCAATCAGTTGAGCGACTGACTTCAGCCTGGGTCATGATCTCACAGTTCACGGGCTTGAGCCCCATGTTGGCCCCATGCTGCCAGCTCAGAGCCTGGAGCCTGCTTCAGATTCTGTGACTCCCTCACTCTGATCCTCCCCAGCTCACACTTTGTGTCTCTCTTTCTCAAAAATAAACAAACATTAAAAAAAAAAAAGGTACTGAAATATGTTCAGAACATTTTGAAAGAATAAGTATTTAAGCATATATTTTTGTGTATACTTTAAAATGTTAAATATATGTAATATATTTGGAAACATTCCTTACATTAACCTCTCCCCACTTGATGTCTATATTGTTATTATACAACTCTGCCAAAGTATATTCCTTTTTTTAAATCTCATTTTAAAAAAACATTTTTTATGATTTGCTTCGAAATAATCAGTGGGCAGCAGGGAGAGGGTGTAAAAGTAAATGGTAGTAGAGGGGAGACAAGATTGGTAATTGTTGAAGTTAGGGAATGTATATGGAAGGTTCATCATACTATTATTTCCAGTTTTGTATAGTTAAAATGTTTTTCAAAATAAAACATTAAAATTGTATTTAATATGCATTCATTTGACACAAATAGAGTGTTTTACTACAGGCCATACACTGTGTAAGATTCTAAGACTGTGGAAATTGGGGTGCCTGGGTGGCTCAGTCGGTTGGGCATCTGACTCTTGGTTTCAACTCAGGTTATTATCTCATGGTTCCTGGGATCAAGCCCTGTGTCAGGCTCTGTGTTGATGGTGCAGAGGGGATTCTCTCTCTCCCTCTCTCTCTGCCCTTCCCCCGCTTGTGTGTGCTTTGTCTCTCAAAATAAATAAACATTTTAAAAACACCTATTAAAACCTGTGGAGATTAATAGAACAAATCTCTGACAAAAAGCAGCTTAAGGTCTTTTAAGAGATATCAGTTTACTTATTTATAAATAAATTCAGTGTGATAAGTATATGTACAAATAGAAATAGAGGTAGCAGAGAGGAGCCAATATTGGATGAATATAGAGCACAGACAAAGCCTCCCCAATCCCAGTAGAAACAGGTTTTTAAAAATGAATAGAAGTTTGCCAGGAGACAGAGATGTCCACTCTCACCACTGTTGTTTAACATAGTGCTGAAAGTCCTAGCGTTAGCTATCAGACAACAAAAGGAAATAAAAGGCATCAGAATTGGCAAAGAGGAAGTAAAACTTTCACTCTTCGCAGATGACATGATACTCTACATAGAAAACCCGACAGACTCCACCAGAAGCCTACTAGAACTGATCCAAGAATTCAGCCAAGTTGCAGGGTACAAAATCAACATACAGAAATTGGTTGCATTTTTATACACCAATAATGAAGCAACAGAAAGAGAAATCAAGAAACTGATCCCATTCACAATTGCAAAAAAAAAAAAAAAAAAACAACCATAAAATTCCTAGGAATAAACCTAACCAAGGATATAAGAGAGCTGTATGATGAAAACTATAGGAAACTTATGAAGGAAATTGAAGAAGAAACAAAGAAATGGAAAAACATTCCATGCTCATGGATAGGAAGAATAAATATAGTTAAGATGTCATTACTACTCAAAGCAATCTACACATTCAATGCAATTCCAATCAAAATTGCACCAGCATACTTCTCAAAACTACAACAAACTATCCTAAAATTTGTGTGGAACCACAAAAGACCCCGAATAGCCAAAGTAATACTGAAAAATAAAACCAAAACAGGAGGTATCACCATAGACAGTATGGTATTGACACAAAAATAGACACATAGACCAATGGAATAGAATTGAAAACTCAGAGCTGGACCCAAAGGTATACAGCCAACTAATCTTTGACAAAGCAGGAAAGGATATCCAATGGAAAAAAGACAGCCTTTTTAACAGATGGTGTTGGGAGAACTGGACAGCAACATGCAGAAGAATGAAACTAGTACACTTTCTCACATCATACACAAAAATAAACTCAAAATGGATAAAGGACCTGAACGTGAGACAGGAAACTCTCAACAGTGTAGAGGAGAAAGCAAGAAACAACCTCCTTGACCTCTACCACAGCAACTTCTTACTTGACACATCCCCAAAAGCAAGGGAATCAAGAGCAAAAATAAACGATTGGGACCTCATCAAGATTAAAAGCTTCTGCATGGCAAAGGAAACAACCCACAAAACTAATAGGCAACCAACAGAATGGGAAAAGATAGTTGCAAATGACAGATAAAGGGTTAATATCCAAAATCTATAAGGAACTCACCAAACTCTACACCCGAAAAACAACCCAGGGAAGAAATGGGCAGAAGATATGAACAGACACTTCTCCAAAGAGGACATCCAGATGGCCAACAGACACATGAAACGATGCTCAGCATCCCTTCTCATCAGGGAAATACAAATCAAAACCTCACTGAGATACCACCTCATGCCAGTCAGAGTGGCTAAAAATGAGCAAATCAGAGAACTCTAGATGCTGGCGAGGATGTGGAGAAACGGGCACCCTCCTACACTGTTGGTGGGAATGTAAACTGGTGCCTCTCTGGAAAACAGTGTGGAGGTTCCTCAGGAAACTAACAATAGAACTGCCCTATGACCCAGGAATAGCACTGCTAGGAATTTACCCAAGGGATACAGAAATGCTGATGCATAGGAGCACATGTACCCCAATGTTCATAGCAGCACTCTCAACAATAGCTAAAACATGGAAAGAGCCTAAGTGTCCATCAACGGACGAATGGATCAAGAAGATGTGGTTTATCTATACCATAGAATACTACGTGGCAATGAGAAACAATGAAATCTGGCCATGTGTAGCAACATGGATGGACCTTGAGGGTGTTATGCTGAGCGAAATAAGTCAGGCAGAGAAGGACAAATATCATATGTTTGAACGTATAGGAGGATTGGGAGGAACTTAATGGAGGACCATGGGGGAGAAGAAGGGGAGAAATGGTCGGGGGAAAGGGAGAGAGGCAAACCATGAGAGACTCTTGAATGCTGAGAACAAACTGAGGACTGATGGGTGTGGGGGGGAGGGGGGAGATGGGCATGGAGGAGGGCACGTGGGGGGATGAGCACCAGTGTTATACGGAAACCAACCTGACAATAAACTATTTGTAAAAAAAGTTTGCCCGAAGACTGGGGAGGGGGAGGGTGTTGCAAATTATTCAAGCATGCACCTGCATGTATTACATAGAAATGTCATTTATTTGGCTACCATCGCAGATGCCACCCCACCAGTGCTTCAAAAGCAACAAGAGTAGTCTTCCAATTGACTATTATGAGGAGTAATTGAGTGTAATCCATTTTCTATGAAGTGGAGACCAGGACCTTTACCAACTCAACTGCTTAAAACATGAATGAAACTTCTGTGGCTCTTCTTAAAATGTGAAACTGTGAAGAAGTCTATAAATTAACTGAATTCTCAATATAAATATTTATTTTAATAATTAAGCAGATTCCCTCAGAGGGAGGAAGAAATGGAACTGCCTGGCTATATTCAAAGGACTGTAAGCAGTTCAGTATTATTTCTGGAGTAGAATGTTCAGAGGAAGAGGAGGTGAGATTAGATAGGAAGGGAGAGGCTAGGTAAGGAAGGGCTTTGTCAACCATCCTGTGGAGCTTGAACACATCCTCTACTAGGGAGCTACTGAAAAGTTTTAGGAAGGTGAGTTGACATGATCAGTTAAGTTTGTGGACGTTTGCTTTGGCAGCACTACAGCAAGTGGAATGAAGAGGAAGTCACTAAGTTTGACTTCCCTACAAAACCTCCAATAAACATCTTAATTCTGATCCTTAGTTTTCTCTAAATGGCCTCAGATTTGTCTCCTCTTTGTCTTCATTTACTAATAGTGTTCATAAGCCATTGTATGTGTGGGGTAAGTCATCTCCCAGAATTGATTGCGAGCTCTTTGACATCCAGGACTGTGTCACTTATTTCATCCATAGTGCCAGGAACAGTGCCTACTATACAGTGCATAATCAACAAATCTTTCCTGCCAGGTTTACAGCATAACTAAATGTTACACTACTGTATGGTTTCTTTTCATGCTGTATATTATTTGGCTATGTGCTTTAAGCTGGCCATTTAGAATGATAGTAAATAAACCTTTGTTCTTTCAGCCACTCTTAACTATTAACATGTACTCTTTAAATATTTTATCTTTTAAATACTAGCGACGTCAATACTCCCTATAACTCTTATGGTAGAGAGTTGATAATACCAGAGTTCTCTTGCTTCTTAAAATTTCCTGTTTGTCACCCTTATTGGAATCCTGGAAAATAGAGGCCCTATCCTAATATCTTAACCATTGTATCCCCAGCTCTTAGCATCTGCTCAGTAAATATTTACTGAATGAACAAATGAGCATAAGTCTTGTTTTTATATGTTTAATAATTATTTGCAATGTTAATTCTTACATTCATAAATAATATACTATGATAACCTTGAACAAAGCTTTTATTTACCTCACACTTTTTTTTCTACCAAAATTGTACCATTTGAAACTGAAGGAGAATTAGGTGTAAGAGCATTTCCCACTTATACACTCAATATGATGTCATGTGTAATAAATCATGTTAAGTCATAAATCATCACTATTAATACCATTTTCAAATTCTATAGTTTCCTTAACATGAAGATTTACCATAATTCTTTTTATATCTAAATCAGGTGTGTGAGAAAGAACTATACTGCATGGATTGGGCAGTTAAAATGATGCAAAAAGTCTGTAAAGTCTTTAGCACTCCGGTGGAAAGAAATAACTTCCTGCAGAGTGTGGCAAATGCATTTGCATGTGTTACAATGGAAATGCTGCAGTCAATTATGTCTGGTGAGTGTACATGTGGAAGGTGCACAGGTGTGAGTAAGATGCATTCTAATCTCCACTTAAAACATAATTCTGTGTAGACTTTTACTTCTCAACTAAGAATAGAAGGAGCAGACATTTTTTGTTTTTCCATGAGATATATTTAGTTCCTGATTTTACTACTTTTTAAATATGGTATGGATTTTAATGGAAAACATAAAGTTGAAGAGTCTGCTCCGGAAGGAACTCATTTCAATTTTGCACAGTAAAACGTTAACTTGCTCACTTACCAACTATCATAATCATCATAATAACATCCTATATTTTTTAGTTTCAATACATATTATTGTATAGTTTCATTAGCTAGCCAACATGATAATCAACCCTATTTTGCTGATGAGAAAACTAAGGCTTAGAGAAATTACTTGACTTGCCCAAAGTCATATAGTTAGAGGCCCGAAAGCATGAACCAGCATCCTTTTCTTCTGACTTCTTGTCTGTGCTCATATATAATTCCCTGATTTCAGTGGTTAATGTGGTTAGTAAAGTGGTTAGTAAAGGTCACTCATTAGTCTTCGATTACATATTATTAGGGAAAATTGGAACATCTTGTTCTGAATAAATCATATATTTAAAAATTTAACTGTGATTTTCTTTTCCCTATTGTCCATTCCTGTGTGTGGCATACAGCAGGAGACCATGATGAAGATGACAGAAGCTTTTTGAATCTGTTCCATCTTGTGCATGCTCAGGCTAACTTCCATAAGGAGGTCTTGTGTTTGACCATGAATACTCTTTCTACCTAAATACTCAGAAAGCCTTGCATTTAGAGAATACCTGACTGAACTAACAATTAGAAGAATGCTACTTTTCTACACTCAGAGAACAGCATCCATGGGACTTTTTATCACTTAAGTAACCTAAGAACTCAAAAGCTGCATAGAATTTTAGAGGCAACTACTTACACCATTATTAATATAAAAATTACAGACAGCCCCAAGAATGTATTGAGATTTCTCTGGAAAACAAGTTGTGCCTCTCCAGATTTTGATAAACCTAACACCCGACTAAATAGAGCATTAGTGTCCAAGAATCTGGGGCCAACCTATATGTGCAGATGTTTGAAGCAAGGGAAAATTCTGTTTTATAGGTAGAGATGACTCAAATTCACTAAATGACTTTTATCTGTTCACTTTGCTTAGACTGTGTAGACATAACCTAAATTGTTATGAAGATTTGCAATATGATGTTTTGGAATGTACAGATATAAATCACATTTTTTACTACTTTTTGACATATGATTACAAAGAACATATATTTTGTTCTGTTTTGCATGAGCTAACAGATCAAAAACCAAAGGAAGTGTATGTGTGTATATAGACTCATGCATATATATGTATGTCTGTATATATATATATACACACACACACATACAAATACATACACGCTTCCTTCTTTACACAAAAGTCTATAAGTAGACTATATTGTCTTTTTTTTTAATGATTATTTTTGAGAGAGAGAGAGACAGAGTGTAAATTGGGGAGGGGCAGAGAGAGAGGGAGACAAAATCTGATTGAGGCTCCAGGCTCTGCACTGTCAGCACAGAGCCCAGTGTGGGGCTCCAACGAATCGTGAGATCGTGACCTGAGCAGAAGTCGGATGCTCAACTGACTGAGCCACCCAGACACCCTAATTAAATCTTCTTTTATTCCTTCCTGAAGATTAGAGTAAAATGTTGCATGTAAGGGAGACTATAAAATGAAAGAAAGTACTTATTCTGCTGCCAGAACAATCTTCACAAGTAATTTGCACTTCTTCCTAAAGCTTTCCTCCCAAAGAGCAGGACTTGAAGGGAAGTAGAAGTGCGTATGGGTAGAGCAACCCTGGAGAGTGGGGCTGTCATTCAAGTAAATGGTTTCCAAAAGGCTCCGGGACTATATTAGTCTAAGAAGCATCTACCACCACTTTTACTATTAAAATAGAAACTAATAGTGTCTCACGGGGCTGAAATGCTGGAGCCCTTTTGGATCCCCCATTTTCTTCTCCTTGGGTTTGGTCATTTTATTTCTGCTAAAGACACACCCCTTCCCACTGAAAGGACGCTGGCTTCTTTCCCTAAGCCCTTGACTTAACTCACCTCTGCAGCTGATGAAGGAAAGGAACACTGGAAAATATAGAAATTACCCATAGAAGTGGGTTGTAAATTGTGAAAAATTCTCAAGTGTTTGGCAAGAGGGACTCAGAGATTTAATAGGAATGAAGAAGAGTGAAAATATAAATTGTGATAACAAGAGTTTATTTCAGTAGCAAAAGTACTTTCCTTCATTTTTGGAGTGTCAGAAATTAACTACCTTTTCCTGATAGATGGTCCAACTATACTTCCACTGGTGGCAGGAATCTTTTTCTCTGGAGTTTATCATCTGCATATTTATGCAGAAACAAAGTTCTTGCTTTTTCCTGGTTTCAGTTTCTTCCTCTCATTTTAAGAATTCACCCAGGGGCACCTGAGTGGGTCAGTCGTTTGTCCAACTTCAGATCAGGTCATGATCTCGCCATACGTGGGTTTGAGCCCCACATCAGGCTCTCTGCTGTCAGTGCTGAGTGTGCTTTGGATCCTCTGTCCCCATCACTCTCTGCCTCTCCCTCACACGCCCGCTCTCTCACTTTCTCTCAAAATAAATAAACATTAAATTAAATAGAATTCACCCACAATTAAATTAGATTAAAAGTTGGCAGATGCCAGAGTACAAAATAATACCTTGATTTTAACCTTTTCTTCTTCTCTCTTTTTCCTATACACGCTTTGGAAAATCTAATCCATTTATTTATGAAAACACTGGTGATTCCAAGTTGCCAATATACCTATTATTATTTGGGGGAGAAAAAAAGGAAAATGGGGGAAAAGTAAAATTTTAAATAGTGAATATTTTTAGTATCCTACTAAATGGTTGTTAAGTTTCATTCTTAGAGAAAGAAATTTGGGATTGTGAAGTTTCCTTGAATTCCATGAAATTTCCTTGAATTCCGTGAAGTTTCCTTGAATTCCTTGAATTATCCCAGTCTCCACACCAGTTATTTTCAGCACATTTACAAAAGAAGCGTGATTTAACTTAAAACATTTTTAAAAATGTATTTATTTGAAGTATGCTCCATACCTAATGTGGGGCTTGAACTCACAACCCCAAGATCAAGAACCATAGGCTCTAGCGACTGAACAGGTCAGGTGCCCCTTAACTTAAAACGTTTTTGGTGCAGATTTTGAATCTCATTATACACTTGAATAGACTTGACTGCTGCTATACGATGTTTTAAAAACATTATTGTATTATCCCAAATAATTGTGAGACTATTATCTCATCCACCCCCAAAATTTGGAACATAAAGAAATCTGATTCATTCTTTAGGTGCAATAGATAAATGAAAATAAGGTGAAAATAAAAAGCTACCAATAAAAAGTAAACTGACAAGTTCTTCATTGAGTTATTAATATATAAAAATAACATTGAAACCAAACTTGCAATTTCCTCACTTCAGCAGCCCAGTTTTTTGCCAAATACATCTGTCATCAGGAATGAAGTGTGATATCAGATATTGAAGTGGGAGATTAACTTGCAAAAGCACATATTATTAACACTGGTTTTGATGTTTAAGCGATGATCTAGACACTCATAGTGCTACCAAGAAAGGAACGTTTGCTAAATGAATAGCCCAACAATACCAGGTGACTGGCCACTTCTAACTTTAGAACAGTCATAACATAACCACGTGAGCTGCTAACATGTCAGATAATTTATCCCGTATCTTTTTCTAAATTAGAAGATTGACCTGATCTTCTAACTCTTTTTTACCTTTTAATAGTGATTCCCTCAGTCTCCTCTGACTTTCATTTGATGCTGATTTTTACTTCTACTAGAAGGCAAACCCAATGACACATCATTATATTTATCTTTACCTTTGTTTCTAAACACACTCACAACACCATACTGACAAGCTAAGGACACTTCTTTTCCTAGAAACTCATCTAAAGTGTATATCTCGTGACAAATACACTGTACCTTAAGAGACCAGGGAACATCTATCTAACCTTAACAATTTTTTTAAAAATAATTTTGTCTCATGCCCTTCAGACCCCTTAGCTTCTTTATCATAGTCATAATGCAGGCAGTAAATTACTAAATTTGGGCAGCAGTTCAGTCATTCAAGAAGTTCAAGTGGGTGCCTGTCAGGCTGTTCTCCATAGCATGAACAGTAATAGACACCTTATTTCACACTTTTCCCATCTTCCAGTGACTTAGTTCATGCTTCCAGTTCTTCTGTTCATCACAAAGATTTTTATTGCCAGGATAATCATTCACCTCAGGTGGCAATTAGAGCAAGATGAGGTTTACAGGAAAAGATGCAACCAGAAGAACCATCTTACATCAATAAAAAAACAAAGCTTAACCTCTGTGTGATTATGGCTCAGGAGTTAACCTCTCTAAGTGAATAGTACCCAATTACACAATTACAGATTTCTTTACCAATAAGTATTGTGAAGGGTAAAAACATAAAACTGTTATTCTCTTCAGTTATTGGACACCTTACTAGCAATGTCACTTCTTTCAATTCCACTAGCAGGTGGCAGCAAAACCTATAAGAAATCAGATTATGGACATATGTTTCTTCATTGATTGCAACATCACTAAGATAGGAAAGATGACCTGAAAAACTATTGGATAGTTTTCTCTAGGTTAAAAAAAAAAAAAAGTGCCAAAGTACTAAGAATACATTTTATTTTCATCAGAAAGCAAATATAACTTCAGAAAATTCCTAAGTAACCAGAGACTTTAAAAAAGCTTTAGTGTAGCCCTTGAAAGGCTTTCTTATAAATGTGTACAAAGCTGAAAAATATGCATTGTTATTTTTAAAGTATTGTATTTATGGTAAAGTGTCTTTGATACCTAAATATTTAATATTTGCTAAACTTTATTTAATTTGTTATTTACTTATATTAATAAAATTAAATTAAAATTAAAAACACTCTAACTTGTTCAGAGTTTTGTCATTATGCAAGTCATTGAATGTAATTCCTTTAAATTATTTCTTATGGAGGAACTTATTTTTATTTAAGCTGTTAATTATAGCTCTATCATGATCAAAACACAAAACATCTTAATATAATGTTGCCATAAGCTACATGTCTATGTATACCTATGCTTAATATTATAGTATATAAATTAGTTAAATAATTTCATTTACTACCAACTCATAAATTGAACAATAAGCTATAAGTAGATCAGTGTTCTATACTGTTCTGCTATTTAATTCAGAGACCAAATTCCAAGCAATTAATATTGCAAATACTACAATTATCATAGTTTAACATCAGTTTCAAAAAACAAAATATGTAATTAAGTATTGTGGATTGATTACCTGCAATTTCCCATGACAACAAGATCTGTTTTTCTAAGAACAAAAAAGTTCTTAAATATTTCTAGATATATCTGCATGTTTGAGTTTATAATGGAAATTGTGTCAACGGCTTTTTCTGTTTCCTCTTTTATATGTGACTTTGGTTTTATTTTTGTTTAAAATAGATGGGAGCAAAACTAACTTAGAAGAGGTCATTCTAGGCTTACAAGTATTTGAAGTGTGATAAGCCAAAGCATGTAATGCAAAGAAAGACAATTTCCACTTCAGCTATGCTTGCTTTTTATTAAGGGAAATTCCCTTTTTTTGAGTAACTTAACATTAAAATGGTACTTTTAAGGGATTTGAAATCGGAATAATGCTAATTTTATTAATTTTTTGAATAATGCTATTTTTAAGCCTTTTAAAAGCAAACACATTTTCTGAAGTTTAATAACTGATATCACGCCAAGTTATGAATTCAAAAAGTCTGGATAAAATTCTGTACACCCAGAATAATGAGTCTTAGGTGGTTCAAAACTTAGTAATATTTATTTGTTATTATTTTCCTTTAGTAACTGTTTCCCAAAATACATCCTCTTTCTCCTGAAATAAAATACATCACCTTCCCATACAAATTTCTATTTTTTGTCAAGAAAGCAGGAATTAGTGTAATGCTACATTAACTAGTTTCTAAGTAATAATCTATAGTTATTTAGAGATGTCTTTTACTGCATTGATGTGGGCCAAGTATAATACCCACTTTATAGGACAGGAGTGCCTTATGACAGATTTAGGAAATTTATACCAAACTTTATATTACAGGGGCGCCTAGGTGGCTCATTCGGTTAAACGTCTGACTCTTGATTTCGGCCCAGGTCATGATCTCACAGTTCGTGGGTTTGAGCTCTGCATCAGGCTCTAGCACTGACAGCGTGGAGCCTGCTTGGGATTCTCTCTCTCCCTCTTTCTCTGCTCCTTCCCTATGCATGCCTGTGCTTTCTTTCTCTCAAAAATAAATAAACATTTTTTTAAAATCTTTATACTTCAGAAGTAACTCTTTTCAGTGTTTTATTATGTATTAGGATGCCAATATACAAATAGTTTAAATATGAAATTTTAAAATGTATTGAAATGATGAACAGAGTAAAATTCTATTATAAACTGGCACATTCTAGCATGGATAGAAGCACAAAGTCCTAAAATTTCTTCCAAAATGTAATTACTTATTTTTTAAAACCATAATATTTCACGAGCAATATGGGCACTCTTTCTGTGCTTACATTGTACACAATACCAGTGATCTGTATCAATGGGCTAGGACTGAAATTGCTGATTGTTTTCACTGAATTGTTTAGCTATTTCAACTACGCATGAATACAGGCTAAAGAGCCTTGACCTCATAAAACTTCAGAGTGAACTTGGTTAGACTAAAACTTGAAGATTCATACCACTATAATTAACTGTGTAACTTGGAACCCCTCCAAAATACTGATGCTTGGCCTTAAAGTAGAAGAAATTTTAGTGTGAAACACGAAGTTATGCCAAAGAGTCAGAGGAATGTTTTCATGGGAAATGTCATGTCAAGGACATAACTGAAGATCATCCCTGAATGTAGGAGTGTTCAGAGCCATGCTTCCTACACTAACGTATCTGTCAGATCACCTACTTATGTCACATACCGCTGTGTAGTACCACACCTGTTAATATTCCCTAAATAGTTTAGGCAAATTATCACTGATACAGGTTTGGAGTAAATAAATATTGTCATTCTCTTCTCACAATGTGGTTGGTAGTGCCAAAAAAAAAAAGTTTTGCAGTTGGATTTCATTATCAAATGTCATTTGGAGAAAGCAGAAAAGCAAACTACTGGTAAAACTATTAAGAGTTTCTTCCTGGGCGCCTGGATGGCTCAGTCGATTGTCTGACTTCGGCTCAGGTCATGATCTCACAGTTTGTGGGTTGGAGCCCCGCATCAGGCTCTGTGCTGACAGCCAGCTCAGAGCCTGGAGCCTGCTTCAGATTCTGTCTCCCTCTTTCTCTGCCCCTCTCCCACTCATACTGTCTCTCTCTCTCTCTCTCTCTCTCTCAAAAAACAAATATTAAAAAAAAAAAGTTTCTTCTACAGGAATTCTGTCCTCAAAGGTGTGGTTTCCAAAGATAATGCATAGTAGGATTGAAGAATTTTAAAATAGAAAGGGAAATTTTAAAATTAAATTAAAATTTAATAAATAATAAAATAAATGAAAAATGAAAAATTACAACTAATAATTTTGTAGTCTAACCCTTTCATTTGTCAGAATAAACAAAAGCCCTGAAGGTTAAGTGACTTATTGGAAGTAACATAATTTGTTGCCAAGACGATGCTCCTACAGTAGTGTATTTTTCTTGGCCAGAATTTTAAAATGCAAGTTTTCCATCTTAATTGGGTCATATGTTGTATTGCCTCAATTTTACTTCTTTTTAAAACATGGAAATTGAACACAATATTATAAATAAAAACTATTCAGTTAATCTTTTTCCTTGTTTATTTTTAAGCTAGAAAGGAAAATAAAATGCAGAACCATTATGATGGACTTTTCAAAGGAATGGGTACCACAGATTTGAGGCCCAAGTCTACTCTGGACTCCAAAATATACAGTTTCCTCAACCCTAATTGGACAAAGAAATATGTTGAAAGTCTTTTTCCAGAAAAGCAATATTTGACAATATAAAAAACATTTATTTGGGGGTAAGAGAGAGGTTTTTCCCACATAACAAGATGAGTTATAGCTACCCTATTTCAATAATTTATAATTCAGACAGTCTCAATGAATGAGGACTATATAACCATTTCTCTCTTTAAATGAGAAGCTGGGGCTCAAGTGGTATGGAGTGGGAAAAATATTATAAATCTTAAAAATTCAAATGACAAGTTCCTTCTGGCTAATGAGTGAGACAAGAGATACCATACCCCCTCAGGCTGTGCAGTCTGTAAAGACAGTGATAAAGTGACGACTTCATAGATGAAGATAGACAATGTGCTCTTGAACTTAGAAGCTCCTCCCCCTCCCCCGCCGGCCACTCCCTCGCGTGTGAGAGGGAAAGGAAAGAACATATTTTAGCATAATATGCAGTTGTGTTTACACCTAAAGAAAGGCTATCAAAATGGATACGTGAGCAGTTCTCCATGGTAACTTTAATGAGTCTACATTTCAGGTCTGTGTCCTCCACACCTTCCATCTACAGCTCAAACGCACGCAGCATCTGCCAGCCATGCCCACGAATTCCTGATGTCCCCGCTGAGTGCCTCTGCCTCTGGGCTCAAAACGCCCCTTGCTCCACAGTGGTTAGCCATATCCGGAAGGCTCTGGAAGAAGTCTGCTGGCTGCCAAGAGGTCTCTTATTGGACTGGAGACCAGGAGCTGCGGGAAACCCAGAAACAAGGCTCAGATGAGGATAGCAGCAAAGATATCAGCAGCCCAGTACTGGCTACGGACTGAGAAACAAATTAGGAATTCCTCCCTCCTCACCACCAAACCCCACAGTTGGAAAAGAATGGCCATCTCCCCCCAGACCCCACTCCCAAGTAAATTTCATTAGCGACTTCATCTTCCAGTGAAAATGAGTCACTAATTAATTAATGCAATTATGGAAGCATAATTGCAAGCCACTCTGCTGACATATAAAGATGTTTTTTACCTTTAATTACCAAGAGAAGAAAGGCAACTTGGACTATGAGCACCTAACTTGAAAAAAAAAATTGGAAAATAATAGTCCCTCCCCCCAAGCACACCACTCCCAACCCATTCTATCCAAAAGTCCTTTGTATTGTGGGTTTTATTTTTCATCTTAAAATCATTCAAATTAGGTCTCAAAGAAAGAAGTCGGCATTTCTTATCCTTTTCAGAGTGGTCTGAGAAATGCTCTATCAATGAATGCATCTGAGAATTAACAAAAGAGGATAACAAGATCTCTTTCGATTTTGTTTTTGAATCAATACCCGAAATAACGACCAGAAGCAAAATTCCACCGGTGCGTCAGCAAAGCAGGATGCTCGGCCAGCCAGCTCCATCCTTCCCCCCTGAGCTGTTCTGAGGGCTCCCCGCCGCAGCTGCAGGCCACTAGAGCAGATAGATAATGTAGGACAGAATGACCAGGCCTATAATGGCAAAGAACATCAGGATGAAAATATCCAGCATTATGGAGTCCTTGGCCGAGGAGGCCTCTGGATTCCGGGCAAACGTGAGCTGTGAGCACAGAGGTTGCAGTCAGTGGAGAGAAATGGCTCCCTCTTCCCTCCACTGCTCGGTCTTTTCCCTTCCCCCTCCCAGGGCCAGAGAGGAAGGGATGCTGCCGCTCCATCAGCAGCCTACTGCCCCCTCCCCCAACCCCCCCCCCCCCACAGCCAACCAATCACAAAGCCCGAGAGCGGGTAACCAAGGCACTGCCCGATTTAGACCCAGCAGAAGCGAAGAGGCTCAATTTCTCCCCAGGAACCCAATCCCACCCCTTCATATCTAAATGGAGTCTGCATGATATGGACGTAGGAGGAGATCTGATCTCTATCCAGATCCCCTAGGAATGAATCCTCCCGACTGCCTGCCTTCTTCCGTTTTCCTCTGACACATCTGTGGCAAATTATCTCAGAAAAATAATGGTTGGGAGCTGGGTGGGCCATGGGCAAGTGGTAACGGTCACGTCGTGGAGGGACATGGACAAAGGTCTCGTGTGAGTCTCAGTCGGCATCTCTGGGGTCGGACCTGATTCCTATACTGAGCCAGACACCGCACACGGGCTGTATGTAATTTCAGCTTCCCCACAAACCTTTTATAGATGAGGTTCAGAGGGGCGCCTGGGTGGCTTAGTCGGTTAAGCGTCCGACTTTCGCTGAGGTCATGATCTCGCGGATCGTGGGTTCGAGCCCCGCATCGGGCTCTGTGCTGACTGCCAGCTCAGAGCCTGGAGCCTGTTTCAGAGTCTGTGACTCCCTCTCTCTCTGACCCTCCCCTGTTCACGCTATCTCTCTCTCTCCTAGAAAAAAAAAAAAATTATAGATGAGGTTCAGAGAGGGTCAGGAACTTGCCTGATGTTTCACTGGAAATGGAAGAGACCATGATATAAAACTAGGCTTGCTGGGCGCCTGGGTGGCCCTGTCAGTTAAGCGTCCGACTTCAGCTCAGGTCACGATCTCCCAGTTTGTGGGTTTGAGCCCCACGTTAGTTTCTGTGCTGACACTTGACAGCTTGGAGCCCCGAGCCTGCTTCAGATTCTGTGTCACCCTCTCTCTCTGCCCCTCCCCTGCTCATGCTCTGTCTCTCTCTGTATTCTCAATAATAAATAAATGTTTAAAATAAATAAATAAAGGGGCGCCTGGGTGGCTTAGTCGGTTAAGCGTCCGACTTTCGCTTAGGTCATGATCTCACGGTTCGTGGGTTCGAGCCCCGCGTCGGGCTCTGTGCTGACTGCCAACTCAGAGCCTGGAGCCTGTTTCAGAGTCTGTGACTCCCTCTCTCTCTGACCCTCCCCTGCTCACGCTGTCTCTCTCTCTCTCCTAGAAATAAATAAAACATTAAAAAAAATTTTTTAATAAATAAATAAATAAATAAATAATAAAACTAGGCTTGCACACTCTGGAGCCCATGTTCTTTTCTCACCCTCTCCCCACCAACCCGACCAGGCCACCCTGTTCATCTGAAATGTCCCTCCGCCCTACCTGCACTGCTCAGATCACTCCATGGACAATGTGAGTGCCAGCGGTCTCTCCTGGTCTCTCCTCCAGAGACTTGTCTCTTTGTGGTCATTACCCGCATCCTTATTCTCTTCAGAGAGCTCAGGGCAGCGTTCTATCAGAGAGTGCCCTGGGGCATCTGTGTGGCTCAACCAGTTAAGGGTCTGACTCTTGCTTTCAGCCCAGGTCATGATCTCATGGTTTGTGGGTTCAAGCCCCACATCGGGCTCTGCACTGATGCCTCGGAGCCTGCTTGGGATTCTCTGTCTCCCTCTCTCTTTGCCCCTCCTCTGCTCCCTCTCTATGTCTCTCTCAAAATAAACAAAAACTAAAAAAAAAAAAAGAGCACACTAATGAATTCCCAGGCCCCTCCCTGCAACAAGAGGGTCTGGATATGCAAATTTAAGTGATGCCTTCTGAGGGGAAAGTAGAATTAATGTTTTATCTTTTAAGTGGGGTGGTGGGTACTCAGTAATGTCTTGTGTATTGTTTTTATGCCTTGTTATGTCTTAATTAGTCCCTATTAAATTAAAAAAAAAATCCCTGCGACATCTCTAAGACCTAGTGTCCTCAGCTCTACCCTAAATAGTTATTTTGAAGGCCTCAGGGGTGAGGGCATTAGCAGCCCTCGGGAACTGAGGCCACTTCCAGAAGGGGGTCTAGATACGGCTCCCAGTGGCTCCCATTGGCTTGTGCCAAGAGGTAGAGCCCAGGGCTCTCTGGAGCGGAGCGGATTCCCTCCCTACCCTTCCCTCCCCAGCCGCCTGCCCCCTTGAATGAAGGTGAATGAAGCCTCCTGGGAGAGAAGGCTGCGGCTCTGCAGACAAAAGGGGGCAGGCCAACAGGAGGCGAGATTTGCCAACTCATTCCCTTCCGCTGGAAAACATTAGGCAGCCGGCTTCTCCGGAGACGGAGCAGGTGACTGTGCTATCCTCAGTTATCCCACCCAGTGCCCCCGACGCTCCGGGCACCCCTCCGGCCCTGCGTCTTCCTCACTCCCCATTCCCAAGGCTCAGGGAGAGCCCTTTCCATCTCGCAGCTGCTATCCCGAAGCCAGAGAACGCCTTCATTCCCAGCCCCAAGTGGGAGATGCCCCTTCCCACAAGGCAGCTGGATGTGAGGCCTACTGGTGGCGCACAACCGGGATGGAAGGTTCCAGATTCCTTCCCTACCACCATCCGCTTCCCAAACCCACGGAAGGGGGGAGGCCACCTTGGCCTTCTGGTGGGAGGTCAGATCCAGGGCACCCGGAGCAAAGGACAGAGCAGGGGTGATACGAACAGGAGCGGCACAAAGGGCATGGGTACGGGGCCCACGGTGGCGAGGCAGCATGACGTGAGGCTGCGAGGGTCACACTGTGGGTCCTGAGGCCTCTAGCCCCGCCCCTCGCTGTGCAACTCTCCCTAAACCACAGCCTCTCTGGGGTTCAGGGAACCCCCATCGGTGAGGTAGACAATGTCATGGCTATTCGGCTTGTGAATACAGCTTTGGGTTGCCGGGCCACCTGGTCAGAGGGTCTCGTCCCGCCTCTTAGCCCACCACAGACCACCCCTCGCCATGTCATTCCTCACACGAGCTCGTCCAACGTGCCAGGCAGTGGCGAGGGCTAAAACTGCGAGCTGAGCTCCTGCATTAACGCAACAAATCTTTGTTGAGCAGCCACGTGCCTGGCCCAGGGCAGGCACTGGGGACTTGGGGAACTTAGCCATGTTACCTGCCCTGTGGGCACACCAGCTGGTGAGGAGCCAGGTGCACACAAAGGAAGTCAGACAGGAAGAGGAACATACAGGGGCTTAGGGAAGTTTCTGGGAATGTCACCAAGCTGGGCAGAGGAATGGGTCACTCTCTCCCTGCATGGCAGCAGGGTTCAGGAGGGCGCCGGGCTAATGTCCCCAAACACTTAGGGGACACACACACACACACACACACACACACACACACACTCACACTCACACACATAGCAGCAGCATCGGTACCTCAGAGCCAGAGAGAAAACCAAGTCCGCAGGTAAAAATTATACTTTTATTATTTGAGTCACCAGGAGAGAGATTCACTTGTGGTCCAAGTCAAATGTTGAGAATCATAACAGGCCAGAAAGAGTTGATCCCAAGCACAAGCCCACGAGGGAGGGGACCAAAACAGACCAAGAAAAGACAACCACCCCATATAAAAAGATGAACGGACGGCTTCACACGCACACACACGGATGAAATGTTTGGACAGAGGCAAATTTCACATGGTCATTTGTATCTTTTTAAATACAGGTTCGCGGGGTGGTATTTTTCTTCCAGCTATTAAAAAAAAGGGCCCAAAAGTGCATATGTGAGAGGAAAAAGGCAGAAATGAAGCAGTAAAGTAGTTTTCCCTGGAGGGACATGAGGAAGAAAATAGGAAGCAGTGTTGACAGAATTCACTTTTCTCACCATTGGGCTTCTTGCATTTTCTTATTGGTCGACTAAAGTTATATTCACATTCTAGCTTTGATGCATCTTCTTTCCTGGGATTAGACTGGCCAGAGACCTTTGTGAGCTGTAACAAAAGGCCAGGGACTCGTCCCAGCCCTCGGTTCTGTGCTCTTTTAGGGATGGATGGTTCTGGAAAGGAGCAGGACTCCCAGCAGCCCCTGGGTCCCTCAGCACCAGTGTGACAGTCCCTCTTCCCTCTGGGGTTGTGGAAGAAAAGGTCCCCTATTTTTAGGATGGGAGGAGCAGAGGGGCCAGGCCAACAGACTGCAGGGGCGGGCCTGCCTTGTTCTGGAAGGAAAATTAGGCTGAGGGAAAACAGGCCGCCTCCTGCGCCACCAGGCCTTCCTCCTGCCTCTCACCACGCTCCCAACCACAGGTGCTCCAACAGGATGCGCCTCTGACCTTTGGTCCCCGAATCCGAGTTGTGCTTTGAGATCTCGAAGAAAGGCAATGGCGCCTTCCCATAGCTCCCTCTCTGCCTCCCTCAGCTTCCAACCGATCTGACATACAGACCCTCTACTCTCGGCTGGGGCCAGAGGAAGAGATGGGTCAGGCAGGGCTCTCCCCCAACACCAGTGGCCATTTCTGCAACCTTCTGACTTGGGGGGAAATATCCCAACGTCCACCCCCAAGTGGTGAGGACCTGGCTGCGGACTTCGCCTGCAGGGCCCTCCTTCCCTGGAAGGGACAAGCAGGCAAAGATGTCGACTGTGGAGCCTGAGCGGACTCAGGGTGAAGGCGGGAGAGGGAGGCCCGGAGGAGTGTTGAGAGAGAGAGAGCGCCCAGAGATGAATAAAGCCAAGCAAGGGTCGTCGTCACAGCCACCAAGGAGCAAGAGAAGGGACTTGGAAATAGCACCATCTTTCCCTTCCTCACCCCGGGGTCTGCGCTTCCAGTTCTGTAGCCCTGGGACTTTCTCCGTCTGTGTCAAGGGGGCCTTAGGTAAGAGAGGGAGAGGTCTGGTGGCCCAGGGAGGGTGAGGCCCCCGAGTGAGACACCCACGGTGTGGCCAACACAGGGTTGTCCGGTGCTCTACTCTGCAGCCAAGGACATGGACGTGAGGGGAAAGAATGTGCCTGGAGCCGTGAAACCTTGCCCCCCACCCTCACCCCAGCAAGCTGCAGGCCCCAACGTCAGCCCCACCAACTCTGGGACCATCCCCTCA